AGGCCGTTTTGCTTGAAGTTGCGCTCCTGTTGCATGATCGTCTGATGAAGCAATCGTTCATCTTGGATGCACGCGGACGTGTGAAGTTACAGATCTCTCAGTTGAGTTAACATGATTCCGTTTGCAACTTTTTCCCTCCGTGTGTGTATGAATGTGCTTTCTTTCATCATCCCAAATTGCCCTTTCAACTTGGAATTATGGGCTTTGATTAAAAAAAAAAAAAACACTCAAGTTAGCAACCGGACGGAATGCGTCTGAACTGGACCATTGCAAACAAATTCCAGTCGGCGATTCACCTTTGCACACCCGATGACTTGCTGCCATGGAAAAACCGCGAGCCGTGTTGTCATCACGAGATTTGTGATGGATACGCTTGCGTTCTTGACTTCCCAGCTGATTTTATTCTTCATCTTGGTTGTCCATCGTTTAAACCAACACACGTGTACAACTTGATGTTTTGGCTTTCATTTAACTTTGGTCGCTGTGCAGATATGTGATGTTAAATGCCAAACAAAGACAGGCAGCCGAATAATCCGGATAGGAGAGGATCCCACAATGTAGACTAGGATGACGTCTTTTCACAAAGTGGTGTATTTACCAAAAAAACAAACAACAACAAAAAAACCCCCGCAAGACTGACAAAGTATAACAAATGACGGCCGAATAATCCGGATAGGAGAGGATCCCACAATGTCGACTAGGATGACGTCTTTGCACAAAGAGGTGTATTTACCAAAAAAAACAAAACAACAAAAAACACCCGCAAGACTGACAAGGCATAACAAATGACTTTGGCGACAGAGAAGCAGGACATCAGGCGATAAAAACACAAAACGCTTGCAAAAAGGCGGGGACAAAATAACGTAAATCGCTTGTCATAAAAAGACAAGGAAATCCACTATTGAGAACGACACAAACGAGCACGACTTAGTCAATGAGCCTACCAATGGCAAGAACTGGAGCGGCATGAACAAGGTATGAGCGGCGAGAGAGTTGGCACTTGTGACGAGAGGCGTGAGCAAGGCGAATCATCCGACAGCCATGTGTTGACGTGACGGGCGGGGCTTATGAAGGCGGTTGGGTCACTGGTTGGCGACAGGTGCGGCTCTGGAGGGAACGCCCTCCTCTCCCACCAGACACTGAAAAAAACCAGACGGGACATTTCTTGACTTCTTCTTCACGTTGGAGCGTGACATAGAAACGCAGCGTTTTCATTTTTGCTCCCCTGTATCATGTGCAATTTGCACGACGGCTGCATATTTGGCCACTTTGGTGAATAATTACAGTTTGGGAATTGCGCTTCATTGTCATTTGCTAACGATGTACTGAAATAGCGACGTGATGGAAAGCTGTTGTAACAGCGTAGCATACAAGAAGCGCTAACTTGTGCCAAATCACCAAGCGTGTCAGGGGGAGGATATTTCAAATGTTGAAAAGTCAGCATTGCAAGCAGCTTTCATCATCAGTCGGCATCAGTCATCGCTCCTTCTGCCGGCGAACCCGCTGCTGCGAAGCACAACGCGCTAACAATGTATTCATTTATTTATGATAACCTAGCCGCTCTCCAAATGGCTCATTTTGTGCCCTTCCGAGCACAAAAAACAAACAATCTTCTTAAAGCTCATATGTTTTACTGACCTTGCAATCTCTGTAAACAGATTCAACAAGTCATGTTGCAACCCCACTAGCGCCAGATTTGGACACTTGAAGGCCTTTTGGTGATGAATTACTGTACATTAGTGCATTGGGTGTATAATGGCCGCTTATCCGTTATATCCTCTTTGACATCACAAAATCAATCGGGCCTAAATAAACCGGAAGAGTAATGTCATGGTGCTAAAGAAATAGATAAATAAAGGACATCTTTTATGGTCCCACACAGAAGAATCAAGTCGGCTGCTGTAAAGAAACTGTTCGAAATGTTTTCGTCAAGGCAGGAGTGTGAAAATGAAAAAAAAAAAAAAAAAACAAGACAAAACACATCAAATCGGGATTTGACATCTAATGTGCGAATATTTCTTCCCAACCTTGGCCCATCTTGGGCTTTATGCTTTCATGAAAACAACCGTATACATTTGTATCTTCAAATATAGACAAAAGTTTGACAGTATGTCACGAAATCGATTTCTTTTTCTGCCAGCCTCCCTTGTCGCTCTGCCCACCGCCACCTTTTTTAAATCACCGTGCGGCCCATGTCAAATGTCATTTTATAGTTTTGTTTTGGATCATGTCGCGGGCCGCAAGTAAAATGGATGATGGGGTCGCAAATGGCCCCCGGGCCGTAGTGTGGACGCTCCTGCATTACAGGATCCATTCCACATTCTAATTTACGGTTATTGGATTTTACTGGTGATAAACAGCGGGTCGTTCAGCAGAAGGGCAATGTAATGCCCTGAAAAAAAAAAATCCCTTTCGTTGTCTTCAACGGCTGCTCGTTATCAAGAAACTTGACGATAAATGGGATTTGCGTGCACAACTGAGATAATCCCGCATTGTACAATTTTTTTGGGGGGGGTGGGGGGGGCGACGCACTGCTCTCATCATATGCCCCATCTACACGGGCGAAAACTGTCCTCCTCACGACAAGTTGCCCGTTATATGCAGAATGCTCGAAGCAGCTGGATGAGATTAGCGGAACATTTTGTGTTGATGACTCACATGAATTTAATTGGATTGGTTTGGCTTTTTTTCTCATTGCCAGACAGCTGCCGTAAATTCTCTTTACCTTGTTTCGAATTGAGTTCGGCGGATGATGATCATGAAAAAGGGGAGGCGCTGACTCATTGTCGACTGGAGTAAAAAAATAAAAAATAAAAAAAAATCACCCCCCCCCACCTCCTTCATATCTACTGGGGATGTGTGAGTACACCACTATCTGTATTTGTATCTCTGCTATCTGTTCACCCATCTCAATGATCTCGCTGTACTCGGAGTGGGCGGGGCATACAGCCGCCATGGGTAGGGCTTCAATTGTGACACTTGTCGGAACGTGCAGCAATCCTTTCCGCCGCCTTTCCTTGACCTTTGTCGGATGCTGTCATCGGGTCCAGGAGAGGTGAAATGGCGCTTCCTCTCCCAACGTGCCTGAAAAGCCGGAGCCGCCATCGAACCCCGCGCCTCGGCGCTGTCAGGCGGACGGGCTCATCAATCGACCGCAGTGCCGCGTCTTCGAATTCAAAGTCAAAATTCAATGATTTGCCTAGCCTTCCTTTTCGTCTCTGTGACAGAATCATTGATTTTTCACCCTGCTCTGGTTTTGAGCTTCATGCCTAATGTTCTCTGTAACGGGCCTTCCTCGAAGCGGTCACGGATATTGTGTTTTTGTTTGTTTGTTTTTTTCCTCACACCTCCTCCTGCGTTTGGTTCTTTGCGGCTTCATGCAGAGTGTAAATTGGAACTTTCATCGTCCAGAAATAATCAGCCTCCGTGAAAGCGGAGGCTGCCGAGCGTTTTATGAAGAGTCTGAATATGGTCACCCTGACCCGGACCCCTTCGTCTTTTGTGGACGGCAGCCCGCGACAGGACAAAGAAAAAATAATTTTAAAACGACATTTGATGTGGACCGCAGAGCTAGTTAAAAAAAAAAGGTGAAGGCGGGCAGAGTGAGAAGGGAGGCTGGCAGAAAAAGAGGGGCCATGACCACTCCGAGATTTCTTGACATGCTGTCGAACTTTTGTCTATATCCGAAGATACAAATAAAACAAGTGCCCAAATAAAACAAACACTGGTGCCCGCGAAAAACGAGGGATTGCTGGAGTACACACGACCTGCTTGTATTCTTCCAAAGCAGCTGTATTTGCGGGGCGAGATTCATTCTTTGCTTTTTGTCTTAAGGGGGAAAAGGGAAGCACAAGATCTCGCTCGGGGAAGGAATGAAAGGAGGGAAGGTTACCCCTGAAAGCCACCACATGAATCGAGGAGGCCTTGGCTTGGCATTCTTCGGCGCTTCGCACTTCAATGAATGAATTTCACTTTCGAAACATCATGGCCGTTCACGCTCGAGACCCCGCGAGAGCCTCGACGCAAGCGCTAAGTCGCTGACGTGCGGGAACGTGATCGAAAATGAGCGACAAGTCGGTCGGTCAGCCCGTGTGCCCGTGAAGGGCTTCCCCCCCGGTGTCCTTTTGAAATCAAAAGCTATTTAGCTGCCGGCGAGCATCTCGCCCCCCCGCACGTCAGCGTTTGATGAACGCCTCGTGCGGCTCAGACTTAACCAAGTTCATCTTGAAATACTCCCCGAAGCGCGGCCATCGATCAGAGACTCTCCCGGGGATTTTGGTCCGCCTCCTCCCGCTACCGCACAAAGATATTCGGCAATATCCCCACAACTCATTTGCTCTCTTACTCGGGCCGTTACTTATTTCCCTCCCGACGGCCCGGAGGGAACGGCATATTCTACACACGCTCCAATCTCCAGCCTCTCTGCAGCTACTTACTTATTCATCACAGGCTCCTCGCAGAGGAGGCCGCTTCGCCGACAGAAATCAGATTTGATCAAGAGAAGAGACCGGGCGGACAGAAGCGAAGCCTCTGCTCAATCATAGAGGACATGGTCAGCAAGAATTCACTTTTGCCTCGAGTCCAACTATGGCTGCATTGCACACATTTGGCCGAATCGCCAGGAGAGCCTCGAAAAATAAGCGGAGGCAAAGTGTTTTCCCTGTCAATAGCCAGCCTCCGTCCCGCGGGGCTCCAACACATCGAGCTCGGTCCACCGCCTGCCCTCGCCCCACACACGCACACCACCCCCGACTCGGAGTCTTCGGCTGCTTTCTCCTTGTTTCGCTGGCACACTGGCCTTCCGCTTTCACTCGGCGTTCTCCATCCCCCCTCGCCGTCTCCTGTCCTTTCTTGACGGCCGCTCTGGGCTCCTTTGCCGCGGCCTTCCCTCTCGTCCCGCGTCGGCAATTTTTAACCAATCGCCGGTCGCGGTGGGTGTGGCTTCACACCAGCAGGATGGACGATTTGACAAAATAGAGAGACGCGGGGCAGAAGAGCTGCGGCACACGAATCGACGTTTCGCGACGACGGCTCCGGGACGAATAGCCCCCGAGTAGACAGCGGCGTGAAAGGGGAAAAGGAAGCAAAAGGGCGAGAGCGGGGGGCTAGTGACGAAGCGCTCCGCCTTACGAGCAGCGGCGCCGCCGCGATGCCTCGGCGAGGAGCCGAATGGGTCCGAAGAGCAAAGTGAAACGACGTTGACTTTTCTGGATTATTTCGCCACTGCTCCACCGAAGCGAACTTTAGCAGCACGCCAATTTGTGGTTGCTTGATCGTGGATTATACAAGCGAAAGAAAAAATCGCTGGATTGTGAGAATTTACGCGAACTCCACGTGTTGTGGTTGTTGGCGTTTTTTTTTTTTTTTGGTTCTCTCTGAAACGTGCGCTTTGCACGCGTTGACGACAATGACTGGATATGTACGGCTGCCGTTTCATTCGTCCCGGGGGAGACGAGGCGAGTGAGTGCGGGGCAGAGAAAGGAGGAGGACATCGGAGGAAAACGGCGAAGCCGAGTCCACCGGTGGCGTTCGGCTGCCGTCTCCGAGCTCTTTTTTCCCCACCCGACCCAAGCAGGACACACATCGGGACGCGCACCGGGAGGACCTGCGTTCACGACCTCGGTGAGTTTTCAGCTTTTTCATGACTACGGTTCGGGAACGGTGCGCATTTTTCCGCACTGCCCATCGACGCTTCGTGCCTCCCATCACGAGCCATCCGGCACCTGTCCATTTGCGAAGGGTGTGTCGGATGTCGCTGTGGTTGGCGGTATCCTTTGCCCGCGATCGCGCCGATACGAGCTGACGGATGGATGCCTCCCTCAATGTAGCTCCGAAGTCCCCGTTTTTCGGTCGGTTTTTCCTCATTCGCAGTTTCTCTTTGCAGCGATTCGGTTGAAGGTTTTGATCTGATCGCAGTTGGCCAAACGCACCCACATGTGTTTTGGAACAGACCCTCAAGACGTACTGGGCGTCGTATTGACTCACTTGTTTTCAATTTTGCTTCTCTCAAGTCATTCTAGCTATGTCCACTCAACTGTGCGATAACTTTATAAAAAATATAGCGATCTCAATTTTTTAAGTGTGAGACTGTGAACCACTTAACCCTGTCAGTGCAACTAGCGGCCCACAGGCTGCACTCAGTTCCCTCTCGATTTCTTGCAATAATTATTGTTATTTTTTTGTCAATATTTGACAAAACCTGAAACATTACGTTTTTCACAAAAGATGGGGCAAAATCAAAAAGACAAAATATTGAGGGGGCGTAGGAAAAAAATTCCACGAGTATATGAATCATCGGCTGCCCAACTATGAATATCCAGGGGTCCACTGTAGTTTTAAGTTGTAAGATCTCCAATCACCACTAGATGGTAGACATGCCTTGAGTTGTGTTTACCCGAGGTCTTATACTGTCCGATATTACAACATGAATAGGTCGTGTGTGTGTGTGTGTGTGTGTGTGTGTGTGTGTGTGTATATGCACACACACTGCAACTGCAGTTAAAATAGCAAGCTACCGCAGAGGGACATCAATCCCTCCATTGGCACAGCTGCAGCTTTAAGCTGTGGTGAGCGATATCAATCGGTCTGGCCGGCGGCGGCACAAAATTAGCTGGAGGCGGCCGCCACGCAATTTTGAACGTAGGAAACACCCTGGGTAGTTCTCAATCTCTTTCTTTATGATCATTTTTCTGCAATCGGTATATTTCAAAGTTGTCAAACTGTCATAGATGGCGATTGGAGTGTTTCTTCACACACTGTATCCGATGCAGAGTTAGAAGAGGCCCGATTATCATATTTTGTCTTTGTACTGCCATGATGCATATGTGAATCGTACCACTCGAGTGCAAAAAAACCCAAACCCAAAACGGCTTTGTCACTTGACCCGAGCTGCGTGAATCCAGTTGATCTCATCACTGAATTGATGGCCTTGCTTACTTCACGGTGTTACCATGTCTCTGTTTTTTATGTTACTGGAAGTTATTTGGGGTCATAATTCGCTGCTAAAAATGTAAAATCAACAAAAAAGGTTGCTTGTTATTGATATCGGTCATTACTCAAGAGTTGATTTCTCTGTTGCTTCTGTCCACAAAATAAGGAGACATTGACAACCTGGACCAGGGTGAAACCTTTTCCTTCGCCATGATTCCGAAGGTCACAAACGGCATCGCATCAAAGAATTTGAGCCCTTCCTAATGAAGTCATATGTAAACATTGAACATCTGGCTCAATTAGAGGCTTCATCGAGATGATATTCTCCCAGAGCATTCATTCGATAAGCTCTAATAGTCACCCGTTTGATTAAAAAGCTCCCAGGGGACTTGTCTCTTGACAAGGTGCGATCCGAGCATTTGAGGGAGGGACGTTGAGCCTCTGGTCATGTAGGTGGTGGGGGTGGGGTGTTGGGGGGAAGCAAAAAACTCGGCAGGATGCGTCACCGTCGGTATGGTGGTCTCCGCAGTTTGAATGGGATTGGTGAATTCCGAGCGCAGGCTCGTCCCCAGTTCGAAGGAGGAGATGCACGCTTGTGCAACCACACGATCTCGGTTGTTGATTTCGACTTCCCCCACGAGAAAAGATGTCATGATTTTCCCAGTTGAGTTGTAAAGGCCACATTGACGGTGCAAAAGGGCAGTGCGCTGGGCGACCGGTTAAAAGAAAGCAGAGAAAATGAACAAAGAACACAGAATTGCCCTCTGGACTAGCTTTAGCATGTTTCAAAAAGTTGAGGAATTTCAAAGTGACCCTTTCATCCTTCCATGTTTCTCTAGGCGGTCCTCAAACGAAAAAGTTTGGACGCCCCTGCAAGCGAAGAACTTTCCACACACACGATCACTCTTTGTCTCTGTTCGGGATTTGAAAAATAACATGACCTGATGTGGAGTGTAAACACAAAGCAGCTCATCAAGGGTTGTTCGGATTTGCAGTTATGATCATTAAAAAAAACAAAAAAAAAAGAAAACAAACATCCGGTTTCAATCTCGCCGAATGAGGTACCGGGATTCATTTTATGCTGGATTTTCCACTATTCAATCAACAATTATGCAATTTTAAATGAATATGATCAAACAAACGAAAAAAAAATACACGTCTGGAAGGTTTGTTTTCGAGAAAACGTGAGCGATTCCATTTCCTGGAAATATTTACGGTCACGTGATCCACAAGGCCGCCGTTTCCTACTTGGAGAGCGGTTCATCCTTACCGTGATCTATATTTTTTTTCTCTCACATCCAACATCCAAGAGGCGCGGACCCGTGGGGACCCGCCAGCCCCGCCCATCTTTTGTCACCACATCCCATGACAATAATGTACTACGGGATTGCCTTTGCGTGTCCCGCGATTGGGAGTTGTTATTACAGCGCGCGGGCTTGAGGGCAGAGGACGTTCGGGAAAGACGGCAACAGGAATTCTGGGCAAATGGAGATTTATGGCTGACGCTTAATTAAAATCTCCAGAAACTAATGGGGGGGAAATTGAAATGTTGTCAGTTGATTGAATCCGCCCCCTCGGAAGCGCTTGGGTTTCATCGTACGGGGAAGCCGCGTGTGAGCGTGCGGCGCTCTGCTCTGCGTCCAACGGGCTCTCCTGCATGTCATGGGAAAGTCGAAGCCATCCGAAAGTTGGCAGCCGCTTCCGCACTTTGCCTGCACGGCTGAGAGTTCGCCACGTACGCTTTGATGCGCTGCGTTGTCGAGAAAGCCGACGATTCCGCCGTGTGTCGTTTTCCAAGGTTTTGGGGCTCATTAGCAGAGCGGGAAAGCCTCTGGTGGTGTTCGAGCCCGCTTAGCTTTGTGCGGCTTTAAGCTGCTAACAAGCTTTGTATTAAGCTTTGGGCTGACTCTGCTGGATAACGTTCACCTTTGCTTCAGTGCAGGGACATGGAACAATTTGCACATCATTCCCGGAGATGTCAGACACAGCAATCTTGTTTTTTTTTTGGTGGGGGTGGGCAGGGGGTGGGCGTTTAATGCTTCACGGCAGAAAACACTTCTCTGAATGCTCAAGTTCGACTGAAACATAAACAATATACGGTGATCCCTCGCCAGTTTGCGTTTCAAATTTTGCGGCCTCAGTGTTTCGCGTATTTTTTTTTCCTCCCAAAATTTAATCGAAAAAAAATTGGGCCATATTGGCAGCCCTCTTGTGGAAAGACCCGTTGTTTCATGTTGATGCGTGAGAGAGAAGGTTTCCCCTCATGCCGAACAAATAGCTGGCCAGACTCAGGATGGGGTCTATCTGGTGAGCCGTTTGGCCGCGCGCCTTCGCGTTCTCAACCAAGGTTTTGCGTCCCTTTGCTGGCCCGCCGCGCTTCAAGATGGATGCTTGCCGTTATCTAGCTGCTTTTCGTGTCGGCCCGGTGCCCAGCGATGACCTCTCTTGCGCAATCGGCGTCAGGGATATCGATCACATTGTGCAGCGTCGTGAGAGAACATGTGTAGATGTGATGAGAAACGTGTCTGAAGAGGATGACCAGGGGGGAAAAAAAAGAGACTGTTTAAGAGAGCAAACGAGGCGGCGCATTGCCGCAGTGAAGGCGTCGGCCCTCGACAGAAGTAATGAGCGTACCAGACGTGGGTTTTGGTGCGTCTCCTTGACTGGGGAGATGGCGACGTCAACTCGCAGTCGGTCGTACGTTCACGAGGGCGTTTCAGGACCGATGTGAGCAACGGACCGATCATTCGACCTTTGAAGGCACATGCCGTGCCAACCCTCGCATGTCAAATAGAATGAGGACGGATTGATGGCGTATCCCGCCTGATTCATCATGTGCGACTTTGACACTTTTCTTTCTATTTAGCTGCGTTTTCTTCTTTTCAGGGTCAGTTTCAGGTTGTGCCGTAGCCTTCCGGGTGCTCAATGTGGTCAATTATGTCTGTGAAAGGCACCCTTGATTGGCCTGAAAATTGGCAATAGGCCTGCGTGTAAATATGATGTCAGAAAAAAACAACAAAAAACACCCACCACCCCAGAAAAAAACCCCAAAAGCTGCACCGTCGATGTATATAGAATTCACGTCAGGTCATATCACATTTATTGATATAGTCCCAAACAGTCTGAAAGGGCTTCACATATTAACGACATCCCCTGACCTTAACCCGCAGCGGTGCTGTGGAAAAACTCCCAAAACCCCATCTGGGGAAAAAAATGAGAAACCTTGAGAAGAAGCCGCAGATGAGAAGAGCGACTTTCATTTTTTGAACATTTGGATATTGAGAATATCTCCAGGACGAAGCAACGGAAACGGTGGTCAGCCTAATTCCCACATTAGGTTAATCTGTGGCACTGCAAATAATGAGGGGCGGGGGGGGGGGTTCCGAATTCAACATTTAAGTAGCCATTATCATTGGGAATGCCGCACGCCCCCTCCCACCAGGCCCTTCCTTGTGTCTTCCAGTCACTCTCACATTTCTCACCGTTCTCTGACAGCCCCCTCGCCAATTTGCCCCAAATCCCCCCCCCCCCCCCCCCCCCGCAGGATGCTGGGGCTGACTTCACTTGGCAGCTGTGAAGGAAGTCTTTCTGCCCCCTTTTCAGTCTCCACGAGCCGGCAAGGCCGCCATAGCTGGTAGAGGCCGCGCGGACGTTTCCGTTTGGCGTTGATTGGCACGACACTCGCTGCGAGC